AGAGTTCAGCGATCGATTTCTTCGTGAGCAGGGTAGCAAGGGCATGACAACGATGAAGATGACCGCTAGCGGTGGATTTGCTATGAGTGCGGGACGAGGAGAGGTGCTCGGATTTCGAGCAAGCCAGATGATGCTTGACAATGACAGATCAATTAGAGTGGTACCAAGGATACGACCTCTTCCTGAACCACCGCCATGGGTTGTACAAGGTGCTAGAGTACGTGGAAGTTTTCCTATTGGTTATTTTTATTCTATCATTTGGTTTCTTGTTATCGTCTATGTTGTTAGGTTTGTCAGTTTGTTTGGGAATTAAGCCTTTTTTATGTCATTGAGTATGTTTGGATCTATGGGAATAGAGATGGCTGTGTCAAGCCCGCTACATGGTTAGCGATTCGTGTTGCGCTTTCAGGGGTGACCGTCTCTAAGTCTGATCATAGGGTTTACAGTCGTAGTTGTTGGATTTTAGTTGGTGCCAACTTTGTTTTTCCAGTTTTGTTTTTCCTTTGATGGATGTAATGATCCTGAAACTTATGATATGAAAGAAGGCTAGTTGACGATAAAAAAAAGACATTAGTGTAATCGACATGACAGAAGACCTCAAGTTTTCTGTTACGGCTCTAATCAGAACTGCTCAAAGGCTTCTTCACCTTCTTGGACCTTGTCTCCTACATAAGACCTACTAGAGATACTCAACACTTGGACAAATTCAAGCAATACTACCTAAGCCGTCAAACTAACGGGTTATTCCCTAACGGCTAGGAGCCTCTCAACGGAAAAGCTACAGGACGCGCAACTAATGCACATTTAATGAGCTTCACACGTTGGGATATTTAAAGCTGATGCTTGATCAGGCGAATGTCTAATCGCCCCCAAAATAGCAAGTCGGTTACTTTTTGGAAACCAACCGGTCAAAGCTACAATACACACATTTAATGAAGTTGTCTTCTACACTCCAACGGGAAGACCACTCTCAGTATAAAAGATACACTTCGAAGAACAGGTAACCTAACTATTCTCTCTCTAAGCTCGAACATTCAAAACTCTTGAGACTACAACTTCAACAACACAACAAGAGAAAGTTTACGTTGGAAAAGATTATACACCCCATCTCTTAACCTTCCAACGTAAAGAGAATTGTTCCTCCAGAACTTCAACACTTCGAAAGCATCACATACACATCTTTCACGAAGAACGTTGGAGAAAACTCTGTTTTACCAAAACCTACTTCTTGCAAAAGAAGGGACGTCTCAAAATAACTGGAGTAGTGAAGTGGGATACTTCAAGGAGACTCAGTGAAACGAGAGTAGTCATCAGGAAGCAAGGAATGCATCCCGGGTGACAGCTGGACTTAAAGAAGACATGGAGAACTTCTTAAGTGCCAACTCTAAGTGTTGTAATCTGATCCTTTACAAGCTTAGTGGAACATTGGACTAGAGGAACACATTATTCCTTGAACCACTATAAAAATCCCTGGTGTCATTTACTTACTGCTCTTAATTCTTGCATTAGATTCTAACTGCTTAACTCTCAAAGACTTGGACTTTGTGATCAGCAAATCTTGTCTTAAGAGTTAACAGAAAGGCAACTGCCTTAGTGTGCTCGCAAGTTTCTCTCCCACCAGAATACCTCCGCTGCCAGTCAATTCTTCTGTAGAACTGACTATTCTGTTAAGTCTGGTACTTAGACTTGAAAAAGTTAAAAACTAGAACATTATATTCACCCCCTCTAGATTGTTCCTTGTATAACCGGGAGCAACACATCTAGGGGTTTTGTTTTAATTTTTACTTTGTATATTTTATGAAATACTCATCAGTGTTTCATTAAGGGTATTTTGGTCAACTCAAGTCTAGCTTTTTTGCTCCTACCAGACGTTTAACTCCTATTCTTGCACTAATACATTGTTTTACTCCTATTCAGGGAATTACCCCAAATCATAACGGTGAGGATTCAAATGAAAAAGTTAATCAAACGAGAGAGAATACAAAATAAAACCATACAATCAACAACATGTAATATGGAGTATTTGATTTACATATTTTACATAGATTCAAGGAAAGGATAAACAAGCAAGAGAGGAAAAATTAGCAATCGGTATAATGTTTCCTTTTGGGGATTTTGTGAAGAGTGCACAACAAATGACTGAAAATAGGGGCAAGATAGAATCACAAATATCTACATTAGAGTTCCTTAAAATTAAGTTATTGCAACTAAAAGGAAACAAATGATAGTATTATTTAATTAGCCATCAGTAAATGGGTTTCATGTTGGGGTTGTGAGAAGAGTGCATAACCCAAGGCTGAAAATAGGGACACGATAGGAAAACGAACAAATCTTTATGAGAATACCTTAATTTATATTTCCTCCGGTTCTCAAACAACTTCACCCTTTCCTTTTCGGGAAGTCCCGAAATTAACTTCACACTTCTTCTTATTTCTTTAGTTGGCAAATTATCTACACCAAAACAGTGCAAAATAGTGTCAAACAGTGTCCAAACAAGGCTCTCCACAGTAAAGTCAAATTTATTTTCTTAATCCGTGTGTAGTCAAACTGTGAAGCTCTTTGAGAACCGGAGGGAGTATGCTCAAGTCTTATTGCCACTCTCTGTCAAAGAATAAATCGTATCAAACCCAGATCCTGAAAAGGTATAAATCAAAGAAGAGCGAGAACGTATAAACTAATAGAATATTATAAGGATATAATTGTAATTGCTACTCTTAGTATTTCATATAAATACATGTATACTGCTGCCTGGTAGATTGAGACTCATTCTTAGGGGAAATTCATTACTTCTTGGGTATCCAGACCATTAGAACGCCAAATGTATTTTCTTATCTCAGCAAAAATATATTTCTGATCTCTTACGCCGTTTTCATCTTCATACTGTCAAACCAGTACGCACTTCTCTTCCCTCTCGCACTACTTTATCATTAACTGATGGTGAACTTCTTGCTGACGGTACTAAGTATCGTAGTATGGTTGGTGTCCTACAATACTTGACTCTTACTAGACCGGATATTACCTATGTTGTTCATCTGGTGTCTCAATTTATGAATGCTCCACGCACTACTCACTTATGCGCTGTGAAGCGTATTTATCGATATTTGCAGGGCACTATCACAGAAGGGCTATGGCTACGCAAGGGAGGTAATCCTTCTCTCATTATTGCCTATTCGGATGCTGATTGGGCTGGTTGCCCTGATAGTTGTCGCTCTACCACCGGTTATGCAATTTTTGGGGGGATAATTTAGTTTCTTGGCGATCCCCCACAGTCTCTAAATCATCCACTGAAGCAGAAAATCGTGCAGTGGCGTACACAGTTCAGGACACCTTGTTTATTCGCTCTCTACTCGTTGATATGGGTTTCTATATTCCTCAATTTGTCCAACTCTACTGTGACAATGTTTCTACCTCTTATTTAGCAGTTAATCCCATTCAGCATGATCAGAGCAGACACATCAAAATTGATTATCATTTTGTTCGCGAGAGGGTAGCTCATGGTGATCTTGTGGTGAAATACGTCCCCACTCAGTTTCAACTAGCTGATATTTTTACCAGGAATTTGTCTAGTCAACGGTTTGATTTTTTAAAGTCCGATCTGCGCGTTTTGTCATCTGCACAGATTGAGGGAATGTAATAGAATATTATAAGGATATAATTGTAATTGTTACTCTTAGTATTTCATATAAATACATGTATACGGCTGCCTGGTAGGTTGAGCCTCATTCTTATAATTTCATTTGTTCATAGAAACACCTTTCATTTGTTACTGCATAGATAACATCGTCATCACCGAAAACTCTTGCCAATTGGGAGGTGCCGCACTGCCACAACTCGTATCGATTCTAAACTCTAAAATTTAATTTGGAACCCGTTTGGTGATCATGTTTTTTGGCTTATCATCTAATTTTTTCACTAAGCACGTAACTTTTGATTTTGAGCGCTGAATTGTGTAATAATAAGAAAAAGTACGGTTGAAGTTACTTTTCTTCTTGTATTGGCTGAAGTTACTGTAGAGAATCGTTTTAGTTGTTTTTCATATAATTTTTTCTTTATTTTAATAATAAAATATATCTAATTTCTCTCTCTCCATAAATCAGCAAAATCAGATAATCCAGCCACTTCAGCGAACTCTATAAATTTCAGCAGAATTTGCCAATATAGCTGATTTGGATATTATCAAACGAGTTCTTGTCATTTTTAAAAGTGAATGAATGATTATACTTCGTGCTACGTCGGTCTCAAAACGATTTGAAAAATCAATTTTTTTTATTAAACAATTCTTTTTATTCACTTACTTATCAATAATAATGACTTACATTTAATTTTAATTAACCAAAAATATTGATTGTGTAAATCAATTTGGAACTAGATGAAGTACTCCATACACCCTCTGTTCTCCAATACATTGCTCTATAGCCTTTGACACAAGTTTTAAGAAAAAATGTGTAGTGATTTGTGATTAAATGAAAAAATAGGACAAAAATGTAAAAGTAGAAAAAAGAATGAAAGTATATAGATATATTTATTGAAAAAACTTTTTAAAAATGAAAAGGGAGACATGTATCGAAAAACATTCTAAAATGGTAAGAGAGACAAATATTGGAGAACTAAGACAGTACAGAGTATTATACTACTCATCTGTCCCAAAATGATAGTCATGTATTTCCTTTTTGGAATGTTCCAAAATGATGGTCATATTTTCCTTTTTGGAAAGAAAGATGTGGTCCATATTATTTCACTCTATTATACTCAAATCTCAACGACAATTTTTATCTTTTCAAACACTTTATTAAAATTTGTGCCCAAAAGAAACGAGCCTATCAAATTGGGACCGCTATTTATGTAAATTTTTGCGGTAAATAAACCAGGAGATGAGTGAACTCAATAATGGAGTGGTAATAAAAGTAGATCCGATTTGTGTTCGGGTCAATTACGTTAGGGAAACAAGGGCATCCCTTTATTTTTTTATTATTTATTTATACAAATAAATGAAATTGAGAGAGGAATCGAATCAAAAGGATTTTGGTTGTGGGAATGGATAACCGACACCAAACGGGCGTTGCCCACATACTCATCTTCCCTCTGCCCATACAAAGCCCCGTCAACTCAATGCTCAAACTGGCCGAGCTTCTCTGCCTCCACGGCCTCCACGTCACCTTCCTCACCACCCATTACAACCACCGCCGCCTCCTCCGCTGCACCGACGTCGAGTCCCGCTTCCGGAGGTACGCCGCCGGCTTCCGCTTCGAAGTCATACCCGATGGGCTGCCGGAGGACCACCCCCGCTCGGCGGAGCACTTGGAGGACCTGCTCAGCTCCGTGCGGACCGCGGCGGAGCCGCTCATCAAGAGAATGATGAGGTCAGCAGTGACGTGCGCGATTGTGGAGGGCATGTTTGGGTACGCCTTTGAGATCGGGAGTGAGTTTGGAGTCCCTGTTTTTGCCTTTGAGACCATAAGCCCTTCTTGTCTCTGGGTTTACCTCTGCATTCCCACACTCATTCAGGCTGGGCAGCTTCCCATCCAAGAAGGTATGTAACCAACCAAACAATCCCCACTTACCTTACTCCAATGCTCTCATTTCTTATTTTTTAGCCAAACAAATTAATCCCACATTAGCTTTATCTGTTCTCACTTGGGCTCAGTTTCAAATTAAATTGCATTTAAACAAATTAAATCAGATTACATTATAGATTTGAGTCAATTAAAAAAGGAAAAAATTCAGAAGTAAATTAAAAGCGTTTGAGAATTCCAACATAGAACTGTCAGGTTGTAACTTTGTTTATTATCGTAATTACTCTCAAGCAATTGTTCGTATTTAGATAGTAAAAACCCATAGCCTTATTTCTACACAAAAGCAATTATTTCTATTCAGGCCATTTCCCTGTCAAAAAGGTTCAAAAAATACACAAAAGATACAAAAATGATGTTTGTACACACTCTTATAAACACTTTTGTACACACCTATGTCTGTGATTTTTTTTTGTACAGACAATGTTTTCCACAAACAAAATATTGTCTGTGAACCAGATTCACGGACAAAAAAAAAAGCTTCACAAACATGGTGTGTATAAGGTGTGTACAAGGATGTGTACATCAGGTTCTAAAAGATATTCATGTTTGACTTATCGTACCACTTGTATTCGGCCCCTCCTAGCATTTTCAAGCCCTACATGATTAATCAATATATTTCTTCGTTCTCGTCATTATACTTATTGTCTTTGACACAACCAAAATGGGAAAGTTGTAAAAATCTGAATATTAAAATGAGCACATTTATTATCGGTAGTAAAACGAAATAAATATTAATATCTGAATATTTTATTGATATAATAATAATATTTTCAAAGTCAGGCTTCAGATAAAGTGAAGCCCTAGGCACATCCGCACATGCATGTTGTAACTTCCGATACTGACTACCATCAATGTAGTTTAATATGAAGATTATTATTCACTCTTAGTACTCCCTCCGTCCCATAATTAACTTCGGTTTTGACTGGGCACGGGGATTAAGATAATGGGATTTGTGTGGTGGAGAGTTGTGCAGAGGAGAGAGAAATGTGTAAGATTGATTGTGAACCACATATTCTTTATCAAAAAAGGAAAGAGGAGATAAATTTGGGACGGACCGAAAAGGAAAGAATGAAAATAATTTCGGGACGGAGGGAGTATTTTTTTTTTAATTTTATGCTAAAATATAAAAATTATACTCTGTATATAAAATATATTTTGTTAATAAATTAATTTTTTTATGAAAAGTAACTAAAATGACCACCTATATTAACTTTAATAAGAAAAGTAATTGGGGGCAACCTCCAGCTTGGATGGTCATTTCATAGGACTTAAGTCTTGAGGGCAATCCTAAGGTCTTAAGTGATTATTGTGACCTCCCCAAGCTGTGAGCCGCCTAGGCTTGTTTACCTCCTTGTGGTCCTTTGTCGGCTAGGGTCACAAGGCTCCGGATTAGTCTCGAGTAATCGAGGATTCCGGATGTCAATAAAAAAATAAGAAAAGTAATTCTAATTTACTTATTTTAATTATCACAAAATTTAGAATGTAAAATCAAAGATTATGTGTTTGACAAAAATGTTGTCATAAGGCTCTTCCTCAAAACAAGAGTTATGAAACAGGCTCATATCTTAATTTTTTGTTCACAGGCTACTACTACCTTAATTTTTTTCTAAATATTTGTTTTCACCTTAAATTACTGTCAACTAATTATAGTTATGCACATTATAAAAAAAAGTATATAGTTATGCACAAAAACACATATTGCTGCTAAAAATTGGGCATAGTTTTTTTATAATATTTTTATAACATATACTTGGTATTATTGAAATCAAACAAAAGTGAGCATTACAAAATACAAAGCAATATTTGACCATCCATTTGAATTATATATGAATGGTTGACCTAACTTTTTTTGCATTAAAGTACTGTTAATTAATGACAAATATTGGATTAAGATCGATATGCCTACTTAATCAACTTCAATTAAATAATTTACTCAATTGATTTTTTAATTTGTGTACATCTCATGATCAGCAGAATTGCCCCCTAGCCTGTAGCATCTTATAATACATTTGTTATACGTAGTATCTTGTTTTTTAGAAGCTCGAAGTGAATCCAAAATGTCTGTTGAAACTTGAGAGTGGAGTGTCATTTTTAAAGTCTTTGGGCATTATATATACCCTTCAATTAAACCAATTGCGCTTTGATTTCCTGTAAATATATTACGTACGGAGTATGATTTTAATTGGTTTTTTTAGTTTAATGTAAGACGATTTAGAAGAAATATTACCAATTTCAAACTGAATTACGTATGGTTCAATTTGTATTGAGTTTAGTTCAAAATTTTTAGTTTGGTTCGCTTTCACCTATCGAATAAACCATTAAACCTTTTCCTTAATAGGAGAAGATCTGGACAGGCTGGTGGCTGGTGTACCGGGCATGGAAGGTCTGCTTAGGGTGCGTGACCTTCCCCATTTCTTTCGGGCCAAATTGGATCCTTGGGCGGAAAAGAACAGTGAGCTAGTGAAGGCCGAAATCCATTTCGTACCCAAATCCCATGGGCTAATACTGAACTCATTCGAAGAGCTAGATGGGCCGATTGTTTCGTTTATCCGCAGCTACTGCCCCAAAACATATACGATCGGCCCAGTCCAACAACACCTGAAGACCAGACTCGCTGAACAACGGGAAGCTCTCGGCCCCCCTTCAACCAGTTTCTGGCAAGAAGACAGGACATGCATGGAGTGGCTTGACAGGCAACCGGATGAGTCAGTCATGTACGTGAGCTTCGGCAGCCTAGCCACCTTAACCATGGCCCAGTTTTTGGAATTCTGGCATGCCTTGGCTGCCAGCCACGTCAGGTTCTTGTGGGTGGTCAGGCCTAATAGCTTAAAGTCGACGTCGGCAGAAGACGATCAGCTCTCAAACGGCAGTGCTGATTCTTCACAGCTTTTGAAAGAAGCCATCATCAATAGTAACTCACGCATAGAGAATAACAATAAGTGGTATATAGTGAGTTGGGCTCCTCAAGAGGAGGTCTTACTTCACCCGTCCGTGGGAGGGTTCTTGACCCACAGCGGGTGGAACTCGACCTTGGAAAGCATCATCGCCGGAAAGCCGATGATCTGCTGGGCGTTGGGAGTGGACCAGATGGTCACCAGCAGGCTGGTTAGTCAAGTGTGGAAGATTGGGTTAGATATTAAAGATAGGTGTGATCGGGTTACCATTCAGAATGCGGTCCTTGAACTCATGGGAAGCAGGAGACAAGAGTTCAAGAAATCCATCCACCAACTTTCTAGGTTCGCCAAAGCAAGTGTCAATGCCGGAGGATCCTCCCACACTAGCCTTGACCATCTCATAAATGACATAAGAAATTTGTCTAGCACACCAAAAACACCGAGTCTTAGTACGTATTGATAGAAGTTATTTTAGATGTAAAGCCTATAGTGTATTATCATAGTCATTGCAATGTACAATAGTGAAGAGGTGCTTCCGAAAAAACTGTCTACATTCTCAGGATAAGACTTCCAACCTGCCCGCAACCCAATCATGGAAGAGGTGCTTCCGAAAAAACATGCCAGTAGTTCAAATCTTGATTCCTTCAAAATTTATGTTAGTGAAACCATTTTTCAAGAGAAATCCACAATGTATTGATTAGTTCAATAGATCATTTGCCAAATGATTTACAATGAATTTGGAAAAACAGAAAAACTAAAAACTCTATATCGCCATTATAGCCTCACTTGGATAGAGTCACTCGATTAGCAAACTGTGTACACTAGTTAATGCTCTAATTAACAGATTCATGAGCTTCCCAATCCCCCTTGATTTCTTGGGGAAAAACAAAACAAAACAACATATGTTTCGATCACCATCTTACTCAGTTCATCGTATTTAGCCGACATTGAGACCGCTCTAATGTCCGTGTGGATTTCATGAAACGGCTTTGACATTTGGTAGTGTTCACCATCAATTGTCACTCCATTAACAAACTCCCAAACCTTTGTATTTATGTTTTGGGAAACTTGCTCAAGAGTTTAGTGTTGGAAAACTTGAATGTAAAAAATTTCTCGGTACGTTTGCATATCTTATCGCTAAGAGGTCACCAATAAAAGATTTTTATTTGTCTTTGGCATGTGTACTAGTCATTCTACATTGAATTTAGTAAAATAAAATTTGGTTTGCCTTCGCCATGACATGTCAATTTTGTTCTCCTGTGCTAGAGAACGAGCAAACTATTTGGGCATGAAAGAATTGTTAATTGTATTCAATATACAACTTCAAGCTTTTATTTGTTGACGATGAAAGTTATGTCTTCAAAGTCTCCCAATTTTGTCCCTTTATCACTTGTCATATGTCTACATTTCTTTAATAAGTAATCCCACTTCACCGCTAGTTTGATGACTGAATTGTTTTAGCTTTAATTTGAATTTATTTTCTTTCTTATACTTCGTATTATATAACCTGTCTTGACTTTATGAATCTAAACTGTTGATGAAAATTACAAATTGCCGGAAAAAGACTTTGCTCTTTCATGTTTTGGTCATACGCTTGTAAACATTTCCCTCATTTGTGCTCCTACAGTTTATATTAGGGCTGACATTTCGCACCGAAAAACCGAAAACCGAACCGAAAATAACCGAATCGCTTTAGAAAAAACCAAACCGGACCGAACTGAACAAAATTGGGACCCAATAATCGGGACCCAACCGAACCGACATATTTATATTAATAAAAAGTAATTGTTATTTATAATAATAATAATAAAAATTAATGATATTTAATGAAGTATAATAATAACACGAGTATAATTTTTTTTTTGGATGAAATGTAAATTTTTATTAACACCCAAAGAAAAACTATACATCAAAAAGTTCTAGATCTCCTAACCCCTCCACCCCTACCTAGTGTAGGGGTTAGGAGAGGTTTTTATTCGATCTAATTCAGAGTAGAAATCAAAAGGGGCCTAAGTATACAATACTAAATGCCCTAAACCTCAAAAATAAATCAGTGCTACAAGCATGCACGCACATAGATCAAGGAAAGTCCAAAAATTGGGCTATAGTTAAAGGAGGTTGTAACACATTCTCCCTTAACCCAAAAATCAAAAACAGAATGTGTGATGCAAGTTGCATCCACGTTACTCCACAAAACATCATGTGCCGCGGCTTCAATAGTTGTAGTCCAGCACCCATCATCAAAATTTGATCATCTCACACGGGTATATATTGAAAAGTATCTTATATACCATGTGTTTAATCTTTGCAACAATTTCATCTTCACTCTTGCTTGCATCATCAAATCGTTTAGCGTTCCTAGCATGCCAAATGTGGTAGATTGTAGCGCAAAAGGCTGCCCGAACTGCTTTCCCCTTCAACTTTGACCCCTATGCTCCTTCAAGATCCACTTGACCGAGCTAGACATCGTAGTCATTTGATGCATCATCCCTAGCCAATTCTTGATGAGTATAATTTGAGCATACTTGATGAGTGGCGGAGTTGGTCATGAAGCGAAATTCTCTTCTAAAATGTAATGCATTTAAATTTTTTGTTTTTCCTAATTTGCCTTCTTTCCTATTCTATTTTGTCCCACACCGGAAAATGAGTAGCTTCCTACTCCAAAAACTCTATATAAATCAGGTCCCCTTAGTTTAATCGTCCAAGTTACAATCTAGGTTGCCCTTGGGCTAATTTTGCTCAAATATTGGCAATTTCCAATGGGCCTTGGTCTGTTGAATGTTAGTTCAACTTTTATTTATTGTATTTGAATTGATTTTTTTTCGGTCTCCTGTAAACTGAACCGAAAAACCGGTTACCAAAAATCAGGACCCGTTCTTGTAATGGTTCGGTTCCGGTTGTAAAAATTTGGTAAACTGAATTATCGGGTCAGTTCAGGGATACACCGAATCGGTTCGGGACCCGAACCGAATCCAACCCTAGTTTATATTGCTCCAATTTTACACATGATAGAAACTTTGTGATTATCGTTTGTTAATAATATTTCTAACAGAGTAAAAAAAAGCCTAGGTGTATCGTGTACGTCTTTTTTGTATATTTTATGTGTACACTCTTATATTGCTTGTATAGATAGACAATTATTTTAAACAAAGTTAAATACATCTGTATACACACCCCAGTTATATACGAGTAAAATATATACTTCCTCCGTTCTTTTTTAATTGCAACAGTTCACTTTTCACGTTTGTCAATGCACAAGTTTGATCAGTAATATCTTTCATTCCTTATTAGTAAAAAATTAAAAAATTCAGATTTTGAAAATTTAAAATGAGGGGAATATAAAATTATCTTTTAAAAAATTAATTTATTACACATTAATAAATTAAATACAGTCAAAATAAAATATGTGAATAGTGTAAAAAATCCAATGTTCCAAAAAGTAGTATATTTTTTATTTTTTATGTATATATTCCATCCGGTCCTAAATAAACTTCACACTTTCCATTTTGGGTAGATCCAAAATAAACTTCACAATTCTTCTCCCTTCCTTATTTGGCAAATTATCTACATCAAAACGGTGTCAAACAGTGCTTAACAGTATTACAACAGTGTACTTTACAATAAATTTAAATTTATTTTTCTAATTTATGTGAAGTTAAAGTCTGAAATTTATTTAGAATCGAAGGAAGTAAAAAAATTGTTCTAAAGTAGAATTGCGGTGTCTAAGGTTAGGTAATTGGTCAAAAAAAACTTAGGATGAACTCACGAGTTGAAAAGAACAGTAGTCAGTAGCCCCCTTTAATTGTGTCCTTTTTCTTAGTTTTATGCTTTTTGTAAAATCTATCCATCCATACAAATACAATACAATCTAGTGACTTGTACTTTTGCGTCTCAAAAGCCAAGCCAAGCCAAGCCAAGCCAAGCCAAGATTCATTATTCGCATTGGTAAGTGCCCGGCCGGCCGGACTCCAAAGTCCAAACACTCCATCTCTGTTTTTCTCTCTCTCACACTCTCTAGATTCCATGGAGAATCCGGCGGCGACTTTGACCGATGATGTCCCTCCTCCTCCTCATCCCCACGTACTGATTTTCCCTCTACCCCTTCAAGGCCCTGTCAACTCCATGCTCAAACTCGCCGAAATCCTCTCCCTCCGCCACATCCGCGTCACCTTCCTCAACACCCTCTACGTACACCGCCGCCTCCTCCGCTTCACCGACGTCCAACCCCGTTTCGCCAAGTACCCCCTCTTCCGCTTCGCCACCGTTCCCGACGGCATGCCGGAGGACAGCCCCAGGACCGCAGATCAAATCCTGGAACTCATCCAGAGCATCGAGGAAACCACCAGCCCTCTTTTCCGGAACATGGTTCTCGCCGCCGGCGCTTCGGATCACCCGGTGACTTGTCTCGTGGTTGACGGCATATTTTCGTTCGCCGTTGACGTGGCCGAGGATGCCGGCGTGCAGCTTCTGTATTTCGATACCATTAGCCCTTGTGGGCTTTGGAGTTATATGTGTGTCCCCAAGCTCATTGAGGCTGGAGAGCTTCCATTTCAAGGTCGGTCCTCCTCCCTCTTCTTTTCTTTCGTGTGCTCTTTCTATACTTCGGCGAGTTAATTCCATAAATGGTACCTTAACTATCGATAATGTTTCATTTTGGTAACTTAACTCTTAAATGAATCAAAATGGTACCTTAACTATGAATAAATGTTTCCCATTGAGATTTTTTTCAAAATTTTGACCAAAAAGCCATTCACGACGATCAAAATTTCATGTGTAGAGTCAGTAATCATATGACAAAAGTAGGTGAAGTAGAATTTATGCATAGAATTCTGGCCGCCACATGTGATTCTTTTGTGAGAAATTTGAATAAAATCTCAATTCGAAACATTTATGTATAGTTAAGGTACCATTTTGATTCATTTAAGAGTTAATGTACGAAAATGCAACATTACCAATAGTTAAAGTATCATTTATGCATTTGACCCCTTTCTTGGCCGAAATTGACTGTTCTTGCGAAATTATTTTGAATATGAAAATCATATCAAAATGTTATTTATTCAAAATATTTGAGCGAGAATATAAAATTTATAAATTACACGCAAATGTTATAATTAAAATCATTGTTCAAAACTTGTCTTATTAGTTGAACAAGAAAATCAATATGACGAATTTATTCAGACAGGTCGTATTAACTAACGAAAATATGGAGTAGTTTGTTTTTGCCACATTTTCCTTTATTACCACTTACTCTATCCATCATTCATCATTTTTTTAGGTTCGGGGAATATGGTCATGTAGTACTTCTGTCTCACTAATATTGGGTGAAAAAAAAATAGGTTTATATGATTGATTTTAATTGATAAAGTAAGTATAAAATAAGAATGATTTAGAGTCACACAATTTTTATCAAATTTAGTATGAGACAATTTTAGAGAGATTTTTGGAAAAGACAAAATGATTCATTATTAGCGAGATGAAAGGGTATTAAATTTGGTAAAGTTAATGTGCTAACCGATTATATAATTCCATTTTTTCAATAATTGCATATTTCCTCATTTCTCAATGATAATGAGTCAGAAACACTACTTGTTAGAAGATGAAATATCGCTTAACCTTTCCATCAATTAAATGTATGTGACCCTATCTATATTAGGGAGTCCACACATTTTGTTGAGCAATGACTGGACGTCCGGTGTCCACTCTATCTATTTTTTTTATTAAATGGTGACACATAGAGCCCATTTGGTAACATTGAATTGCTGATTCTGGTGAATTTTATGAACATCTGGATGAAGTGTCTGTATTGGCTGATTTTGCTAATTCATAAAAAATGATATTTAAAATATTTGTTATTAATAAATTAAATAAAAAATTATATGAAAAAATAACTAAAATGATTATCTACTTTAACTTCAGCCAATACAGTCAGAAAAGTAACTTCAACCTTACTTTTTCTGCTTATTACAAATTCAGCGCTCGAAATCAAAAGTTATAAAGCTATAGTAATACGGGCTCATAGTAATGTCTCCTAATCATGTGTTTTTATAAAGCTATTATGTAGGCGTATACTCTCTTTTCTTCCATCTCTCAAGGTTCTTGACCAAAATTCCAAAAAAAGTAGGAATACGAAAGACAGTAATTTAAAATGTTTAAAGAAAGGATCAAATAGTAAACAGTATAACTATGTAATTAAAAGATGGAAACCGGAAAGAATAAGAAAATACAGATCAAACTGGAAACCGGAAAGAGAATATAAGAAGCAATGAATAAGTTGACAAAATAGAAATAAGACAAATAATAATAATTGAATTTCCAAATGTCAAAAGAGACAAATAAAATCACGGATGGTGTATGAAATTTGTTATTTTTTTCTAAATTGAATACGTAGTAGGGAGTATATATAACTCCATTCCTAAATAAAATTTCTACTTTGGGACCACTGATTTTTGTTCTGATAAGTTTTGATATAGAACTAAGAGATATCGACAATGAGCATGTAATGGTGAAGTCCTGTTCCTGTCCAGTCGGTCTGACGAGAATCGCCGTCTCGAGAGCTTTTCAAAACTTTTCTGGTAGAATTTTTTGATGTCTTTTTTTTAGCATGTATTTCATCAATTGTAGTTTACACATACAAAATTTCAGCTATAAATTCTATCGGAAAGACAGTGAAATAATTTTTTGAACATAACTGGGCTATATGTATATAAATTGTATATGAACAGCCCTAAAAGTCAATCTAACAATCCAGATCCATACCTAAAAATAATTTTTTGAACATAACTTTACACATAAATTAAGAAAATAAAAAATTGTATGATTGAAATTGTGTAAGAAAATAGAAGAGGAATTATATACATGAACATCCTATACTTTGTCATGAAACACTCGAAATATAATTTGGAACGAATGAAAAAAACGAAAATAAATTAGATGGAAGAGAACACATTTTTTTGAAAAGATGCGAGGAATACTTTTTGAAAGAATAGGAGGGAATACTTGAATAGTGTAAATTAAATTTGGAGATATTAGATTAGATTAGACTTGGTTAAATCTGAAACGATCAAACTATCACAAACCAAATTTAAAGAGTTCAGTTTTGATCATTTTAATTCAAACTAGATCATATGAATTAAAAAACAAGATCACACTTGAAACTTTTAACAAGATCATATGAATTTAAGAACTTAATTACAATTGCTTACTTTTTTCTCATTAAGCCTTATCTGTATTAAATGTCTATTTGAATTAAATTCACAAATGTGCACCCTCGTAAATCATAATGTGTATCATTTTGGGTCATTCTCATTTCTTACCGAAAGAACAATTCTCATAGGAATTGGACGCTATATGTGTGTGTGATAGTTCTGACCAGAATCCTGTAAATGAGAATCTTAATCTTCACGTACACATTAATTACACGAAAGACAATGCATGTGTCCTAGAACCTTCTATAGATGTATACTGCATACACATATTTTCTAAATTAGATACTCCCTCCGTCTCATATTTAACTCTGGTTTTGACCGGGCACGGATTTTAAGATAGTGACCACATATTCTTTACCAAAAAGAGAAAAAGGAGATAAATTTGGGACGAACCGAAAAGAAAAAAATGAAGATAATTCCGGGACGGAGGGAGTATTAATAACAAAAGAATGCCATATTTATTACTCTCAATTTGTATTAAAAAGTCCAATTTAGATTTTGGGAGTGGGGTGTCATCATTAGGATGCAGTAACTTGATAAAAAAGGATGAGACTCCATCCCTGAGAACTTCCAACCCTGACCGAACGGTATGTTGGGAAGATGTAAATTGGACTATAATCTCAATTTGATGTATAGAAAGCGAGGAGATAGGATGGAGTAACTTCATAAAACATGGCTAATGCGTCCAGAAATGGTTCAAGAATTCAAGACAAGACTCGGACCTTGATTAAGAATCTTTGTCATTGTCAGATTATAAAATTACTATCTATTTGGATTAAAAGTCCCACATAAAAGTACTTTTTACACCTAAAAACTTAAAACTCCTGACCAAATTTAGCACTTCCGATAAGTTGTGATTGGCCGTAAAGTTTTGCTCTTTTATAGGGAGTAGTTAACTCATAACTGTCCAAACGCAACTGAGTTGGCAATAGGTGATGCGACTAGGGAGATGTTCGTGGTGATTCTCTTCAGAATTTTTTGCAAATTATGCACAGACAAAATAAGAAATATTTTGTCTGTAAACCGGATTCATCGACAAAAAGAATCATCACAGACATGGTGGATATATGATGAGTATAAAAGTAGGTATAAGACTGATTGTTTTGAATTTCTTCTCAAGTCAGAATGAGACTATGAGCCTGTTTGATTACAATGAAATCAGCTGAATCGATTGATTCTGCTGAAATTTATGAAGTTGTGGTTGAAGTGGCTGTATTGGCAGATTCTGCTGATTTATGAAAAAAAAAATATTTAAAATCTATTTTTTAATAAAATAAAGAAAAATTTATATAGAAAAATAGCTAAAATGGTCATCTACAGTAACTTCAGCCAATAAAGTCATAAAAGTAACCCCAACCTTACTTTTTCTTATTATTAGACAAATCAACGTACGAAGTCAAAAGTTACGTGTTTAGTTAAAAAGTTGGCTGAAAAGCTTGATAAGCCGAAAAACCGGGTCATCACTCACCAAACTAGCTCTATAACTACATAAACAAACCGAAACCAAACTATATGAGAGAAGTTTAAACACATCTATGTACACCAAATTAAGGGGAAAATAATTAAAATACTCTACACTTTGATTGAGTGTGAAATAAGCACCCCAAACTTGCATATATAATTTAAATACCCCAAACTTTATATGAAGAGTTATTTTAACACCATGGTCATGCATTATTTCTTTCGAAATTTGGTGTTTATTTCATAATTGGATAATTTTTAGCATTCGTAAAGATACAATAAACATTCTAAACCTCCATTGTAAAAAAAATAGTACTCGTATTACCTACCACTATATATAATTCTAATGTTTTCAATTTGCTATTTTAAATTATGCATTTAATACCATAAATTTGCATTTTTGAAAGAAATAATACAAAGCCATGGTGTTAAAATTACTTTTTATATAAAGTTTGGGGTATTTAAATCACATATGAAAGTTCAAGGTGTTTATCTATACCCCTTCAAAGTTTAGAGTATTTTAATTATTTTTCCCCCAAATTAATCAGTTCACATCAAGGAGTATTACGCAATTTATAGTGCATCTATTCCAAATTCTTTTGAGGTTAACACTTATTATGTACGGAATATATGTTAGTATTGTCGAATTCATTCCGATTTTTTCTTTACACCTTAAATTGATGTTCTTATTAATCAAATAAAAATGTATATATAGTTGCGATTAAGATGGAAAAACTGAAAGAATGCCTACTACATAGACAGCTCTTTAAAAAGAAATGCAAAGAGAATTACGGAGAATTCCAAAACAGTAAGTTAGGAGTAAAATATGTGACGTATTTAAATGAATTAGACTTGTCAAATTTAAAGAGACCCTTAAACTAGATTAGAT